CAAATGGAGCTGAAATAAGATTGGCTACTTCATCATAATGCTGAATGATAATAATGCTTATAAGAACACGACTTTGCATACTTCACTCTCATCATTGCAAAGGTAATTTTAAAAACATACCAGCAATATAAAATCRTACCTGCAACAGCTCAAGYGTCATGGGAATATTCTTAAGCTCCTTTAATAAATCAAGTGCTCCAGCCTGAAAAGARCAAAAGTAAAYTTAATAGCAATCACATATTTCAAACATAATTTCCACAACATAGCTGAAGTTAAAGTTCCCAATTTAAACTATCAGTTCCCAATTCTTCAACAAAACAATTTCAGGACAAGAAGTGCTGTTTCTCACACTCTGACCATTAACAGATATAAACTCCAAGTTCAAAGTATTCATTCAAAAACAAGGAAAGCTTTGTCCTATGCAATACAAGACGAGTTAGGGCCTTCGGGGGGGGAAGAAAAAGAGGGGGTTACTATCTATACTATGAATTAGTTTACTTCCTCACTTGCTCTAGAAAATGGCCTTTGATGTATTTCACTCAAGTACATCAGAAAGAAGCAACAACAAATTTCATTTCTGAATCATCTCACCTATATCAGAAGAATACCCTGCAGATAAGCAGCTCTATGTCCATCAATAATGCAGCCCTTTACAAATAACATTGTATTTATGATGGTGAGGTAAAGTTAAAAGGTATACTGGTTTAAAAATTGTGTTCAGGTTACACTATTTTACTAGAAAACAAGTRTATTTTCCCCCACAGAAAAGGAAACTTTACRGGGGTTCACCAGTAAATGCCAAGTCAAAAAGCTGAGCAAGATGTGCTTTCAAGTCCTACTTTCAACCAGTCTTATCTTTACACTCAGTGTATCCAATGAAATACAATACAGTCAATGAAATACATAGATTGATCTATATAGTTTAGAGCAGACAAACAACATCTTTTGGCTCATACCAGACAAGCATCAACCTTTATCAGAGAGCCCACACTAAGCGCTATAACATCTGAGYTAATTTCGCTGCTTATTATTCAGTCGTTTATTACTCAGAATTCCCCCCCTTTTCCTCTGCTAAAATGTCAAGGAAAGTAAAAACTAGTGCTACATAAGTGGTAGTTTTCTAGCCAGATTAATTAATTTCAGAGACTGAACTGCTAGGCTAATTATCGGTAACAAACTAACTACAAAGCTACTGTAATAATTTATTTAAGTGCTCATTACTACTCCCACTGAGATGCTGGTCTTATTTAAAAAAGAAAAAAAGTTTTCATAAATGTCAGCAATAGGTTTCATATTCATTTACTTTTTAGCCTCTACATCCTTGATATTTTACCTCCTCCGTGAAAATAAACAAAAAAGTCTCTGCACTCTCCACTTCTTAGTGCAGATAAAGGTTAGCAATGAAGGCAGCCTCGTAAGGTTAAGATGCATCTCGAGTGAACATGGTTCCAAACCTGCGACTTAACAACAGCACGAAGGTAAAAGACCTTGCATAGAAAAGGCCACCATCTTCCCACTTATTTAATCCACAGAGGTTAAGAAACAAACTCCACCTGATCATCACCTTGCAGTAATCACCAGTCCTCCCCAGTCATCTCTAGATATGATCTGCCATTGTATCTGCACCATCTACAATTTAACCACTAAATACAAAGCACGTATGAAGCACRTAAAACAAGCACGGAGCGACTGAAGAGCATGAAAGTAAAACAACTGCAGCAATCGAATAGGAACAGCTGTGGAAACTTTGAAAAGTGCTACAACCTTACTGCTTTTCTGAAGATACTTGACAGCAAAGAAGCCACCAAAAATGAATACTATAATTTCCATCAGAAAAAAAATCCAAGTTTTACTCTCTGCATTAATGCTTTGTAAACTTCTACTTTTCTCATCACTTGTATAAGCATACTAAGAATTATATGCTTTTAAAATTAAATTATATTTATTCTGTTCAAAGCAGCTGAACAGCTCTTTACAAGCTCCTATCTTAAAAGACAAATGCTGTCTTTTCCTCAAAATCAGTGAAGCTGCACAAAAAGGCCTGCAATYCCAACTTTTCTCAAGAAATAGATTTTTTGTTTAAAAAGAAAATCTACAAAACCATTATTATAAATTTTTTTTGCAAAGTATTTCTAAATTTTTTTAGGAAGAGAGAGAGACAACACCCCATTTTCACTTGGCTGAAAATTGTTGCATTATACCTCTATTTCATTTTGCATAACCATTCATCTATCATAAGCAAAAGTATCTGAAATAGATTTTGGAGATAGAAAGGAAGTAACAATTCTACATTTTCCTTGCTACTTAGGAGAGCAGAAATCRATCTCAGTATCTATCCCCCACAGATTTATGGAGATGACTCCCCATAGCTTCTCCCAATTGATCAGACTGTAACACCAGAAAGATGTTKTATATTCATACTTCAAAGCAACACTTCAAGATATAAAAAGAGCATATTTCTGAAGGTGGCACTGCTATTCAGTTACAATTATCTTCTACTTAGGAGAGCAAACTTTTAATAAGACGAAATGATGAAGAATTTCCTTCTGTAAGCTTGTTTGTCCTTGAGTTTTTAAATTTTTGTGTGTGCAACCTTACCTTTCATACCCATTCATTACAGCAACTTTGTGGCAGAAAAGTATACTTACATATGACAAAAGCTATAGGAAGGTRCAGTATACGTTCTAACCCAAATGTAGCCTTTCTGAAGAGTCATAACATCCATTTGAAAGATGCAGACAAACCTCGATGTGACAGCAGAAGTATGTGTCTAGTTGCGTATTAAATACAACACTGCATAATGTCTTGTCCTTTGAAAGAAATTCATATATATCATTTAACTGAAATAATTATTAGTCCTGTGTAGCTACAATTAAACCTTTAGCCAAGGCAAACACCAAGAGTCTGACTCAGGATGGGTGTCTGCACTGACAGCCTTTATAACTCATCAAAAGAAATGCCAAAGAGCACTTTGTCACAGGCCACGCAGACACTCTTCTGATGACAGATTAGGACAGGACGCCTCTTCCCATCTCTTTCTTGACAATTGCTGAGTGAAGAAGTACCACAGCCTTTATACTTATTGATAGGCTTCAAGAAATCATTCTTATTCAGGATATGCACAGAATCCATACAAAAACGCACTTTATATTTCATGAAGAATGACTAGTAGCACACAGAAACTGTCAAAAAACACCCTGCTTATACTGATGAAAACCATGGAAAGGAATGTAAGCTGGCAGGAACTTCATCCTCCATTCTGTTTATTATTATATCGATATATACAATACCATATCAATACATATTGTCCAATGCATCAAACTGCGTTTCTCAATTTTACTTCATCTTYATGCGACAATGAAGTCCATCTTCAAAAAATGGTCTCACAATTGTGTTAAACTTGTATTTTAACTACATGACAGGACAAGGTAAGCAATCATTGACCAGAATGGAGCTAAACTAAGCCCAGCAGTGAGACCACTTTGCTCGCTAGAGCTTTGGAAGTTATTCAGGTTACAGGCACCACACACAGGTACCCAGGCGCGGTTAAGCACTACAGCCAAACGTTGGAGCCTCCCACGCTCCCGAGCAGCAGGTCAGGGTCACCTGGAGTATCGAGGGCCCCCCTGCCCTGGCGCCCCCCACTATCAGCAGCCACGCCRTACTACCCCAAGGTTGCTGTTTGCAGTCTATCTCCTGAACAAGTCTTCCAGATAAAATAGAATTGACTGCACTTTATCATTTTCATTATCACTATATTTAAATATTTCAGAGCTGGTATGCCTTTATCTTTTTGGCATATCTCTAGATTGGAAAACAACCACTATTCCAATTYTAAAATTAGGAAGGGAGGAGAGGCAGTACTTCTGTACTGAACAGTAGAAAGAATGGAAATAACTAAAAAAAGGGAGACGCAGGAGCAGAACTTAAAATTCCTGCATTACAGAGAAACCCAAAAGAGTTTTTGGAAGGGAGCTGAAATGAGCCTGAATAACTTGGGCAGAAGGGCAGGTACCAGAACTACAGCTGACCTAGCTGAACACAACAGACACAAAGCTCAGTTCTAAACTACCAGCGGTTAAGACTTAATGCACTATCATAACATATGGGAAAAAAAAATCAGTTTATGTATTAAAATGTCAGCTTGCAGGGACATTATAACTAAAACGTACAACTTAAKAAGAATAAATAAATAAATAAATAAAGTGCCAGTAAGCTAAAATAATAGTAAATGCAATAAGTTCACTGTTTTAAGATACTTTGCACGTAATTATAATGCATGTAATTATAATCAGGTAATGAGCAGTTCCTATATACAATAATTTTAATAGATTCTGCATAGAGAATGTAGGCATTACATGCTGCCTAAGCAAGTAACCGGTACTTATACTTTGCTTCGGGTTTAAAAAGAAAAGCAGCACACGTTCCACATCTGCTTCAGCAGCGAGTCGGCACCGAGCTCGTGCCACGCTGTCAGAGCTGGATGAGGGCTCCTCATCCGTTCCAGCCTAAACACCTCACATTACAATYCACACCCTTTACTTAAACGCGAATACGAGGTAAATCTGAAGTATCTAAAGGAGCCGGTGGCCGCCGGTGCATTCTCCCCGAGCCGTGCAGCGGGCCTGCCCCAAACCGGCCCGCACGCAGCTCCCCGGGAGCGAAGGAGGGAGGCCGCGGGCGGGACCGTTGGGGACCGTTGGGGGCCGTTGGGTCGGGCGCGCGACGCCCCCCCGCCCTCCCCCGCCGGGGGGGCGGCGGCCGCGGCGGCCGCTGGGCGGGCGGGAGGGACGAGGGAGCCGCGGCGGCCGGCGGAGGGCCCGGCCGGGCCCGCGGAGGGGGAACCCCCCGCACCCGCCGCGGGGGCAGCGCGGCCCGGGGCGAAGGAGAGAGGCCGCCTCGGGGCCAGCGACGGCGAGGGGAGCCGCGGCCCGGGGCGCTCACCGCGTTCTTCTTCTGCACCATCTTGTCCATCTTCTTGGCGATGCGGATGATCTCGTCCTCCGTGGTCATGGCTGCGGGGCGCGGGCGGCCGCGCGCGGCGGCCGGGCCGGGCCGAGCGGAGCGCCGAGACGGAGCCGCGCCGCAACGCGCCGCGCCGCGCCACCCAGCAGGCCGCGCGGCGCCAGGCAGCGCGCGTCGAGCGCCGGCCGCRGGAGCCAGGCAGCGCTGCGGCACGCCGAGAGCATGCGCGGGGCGGCCAGCGGCCGTTTAACGGTCGCGCCTGCCTCGCCCTCCGCCGGGCCCCTGCGGACACGTGCACGCGAGGGCCCCTCGTCTGGCAACCTGGGGCGAGGGGAAAATTACCTCCTCCCTCGAGACGTTAAAAGCAAATCCCTAAAAAATTAAATAACATTTCATTTGGGCAACACAGAGGAGTTCTCAGGTGCAATTTCAGTCTATCTCATTAACCAAATACCACACTGGGATGTTACACTAGCGCTTCCAAGCTGTCAAACCAGCCGAAATCTTGCATACGTTCAAGCAGTGTGCTGCATTTAAAAAGTCTGTCAAAATATATAAATCCATAAATAACATCATTCAGCCATTTTCTCTTAAGGAAAACAAAAGTGTTTACTTCAGGAAAATCGTACATGAAAGCGGTGCGAAAACTGTTTGAAGATTATTGCCCACTAAAAGTCAGGCAGGTGCTTAAAAACACTTCCAAAATCGGTTAGCCCTAAATGCTGCAGATAATCTTCAGTTGCACAACAGAGGACTAAAATATGTAAACCTTAGAAAAAAGGCTACAAAAATGTATGCTTTCAAAGAGAAAAAAAAAAAAAAAAAAAAAAGGGCAAGATGGGCATTTTCTGTGAAATGGCATTTGAAGAGGTAATTCTTTGTGAAGCCAAATCGAGACAGGTATTTTTAAGGCACTTCTACATGACTGTGCTCAGTACACACAGAGTAACAGTTGCAGCCTTTGGCAGTAAAAATAATTTGGGAGCTAGACAGGGTCTCTCCATAGGTGAGATCTGGCCTGTGAACTGGACAAACATACAGACAGGCTACTTTTTTTTTTCCTCTCCTCTCTCCTTCCTTTCCAAAGGGGTGGGAAGGAGAGAGAACACCGAAAGACTCCTGGAAACAGTATTTCAGTAGGGAAAACAAAGATTAGCCAGCTGGTAACACGTATTGCCTTCTGAGAACAGCTGCATTAAAATCAAACAAAGCTCCCAGCTTACGCTGTGTGTGCTGCTTGCTGCAGTATCAGAACAATACGCAATTACCAGAGCCAGTACTAATCAGCTTGTTTATTAGCTGCTCCTGACCACAACTGTGTACTGGAAAGACATACACAGCACCTTGCACAGTTGTTCTCTTTCAGATGGTTCTAAAATAAACAGCTTTGCAGCTCTCTTCTACTCAAAAATAGGCATTTTAAAAGTGTAAAGAACAGCAGGAGGAAAATAAAAAAAAAAAAAAACACACACATGGAATTAAACAGTCTTCTCTTAGTTTAGCTTCCTATGTCCATCAGGAAGCAGCAATAACATGCTATTTTCACACTGCACATGCCATTTTAAACACATTCTCCTCATCTTTCTAACATTTTCTAAGAAGCAMCATACACATGCTTCTCTAAGGAGCTAACATCCAGCTCACTCCAGCCTGTCACCTGTTGGATCACAGGCACTTGCACAAATTTTTGACAGCCAAATGATTTTTGACAGACAAATGATTCTTAAGAGAAGGCACACATGAAATACTGTGGGCTTCTCCTAGTCTCTCTTGTTACGATATAGCATAACRAGAAATTAATAGGGAGAAGAGCGGGGGGCAAAGAACAACACACAAAATGTATGAACCCTTACCAGATAAAACTGAAATCCTGCATTTTCATAACTGACATTCTGTATGAAAGAAGCTCCTCTAATTAAATGCTAGTACAACTATAAACAAAAAAAAACAAAAAACAAAAAAAAAAATTCAAGACATTCCAAGAGGTTCTACATAACCAGGTATTACTCTCATTACTCCTCCTCATCTGAGCCCTAAGTAAAATAACTTCTGTTCTGACAGACACACAGGTTAAGCCAGGCTGAATGAGAAAGATGATAAGCTTGTAAGTCATGGGACAGTGCAGTGGGTGCTAAGAGTAGTCCAAGCACAGCTATATTCAAGGACCTGACACAAATTTCCTCTTAACTGAAACATWTTCTTTAAAATATTCTAGATTGTATCTTGATCTGATGATCAAGAATTTTGTTTTTAATTTCCYGGGACTAGCTGCAGGTTATAGATATATGACTTGGACTGAGACCAAACTATCATTTTCAAATTCTGGTGTCTGCAATACATTTTTAAGTACATTTCAAAAAGTCCTAAGTTATTTTCATCTTTTGTATTCATAATTGTTAACTGGAGATATTTATGTAYGAAACAGGAAAAAGTTTAAGAAAATAGCTGATTTTTTTAGTCACATTATTAGACTAACATTCTACTATGCACTGTAATGAAACATTTCAAGAAGTTTCTAAATCCTTACAGAGCACGTAAAATCCAAGCTTCTTTCAGGTAAACATGAAAAAAGTCTTTAGCACTTTCTCAAACAGTGATCAAAATTTATTTCACAATGATAGAAACTGAAAGATTTCACATTTTCCCCTTCAGAAATAGCTTCAACAAAAGTTCAGTTTTCTTGTCAAACAAAATGAGCAAACTAAGTAAATTACAGCTTTAAGGTGTAGTTAAGTATAAATTGCATGTACTTCATAACACAAAGAGAAAGTTTTCAGTATTTCTTTATAAAATTTATGAGACCTAGGCCTTTAAAATATGGCTTCATTAACATCTTACACAGTATGTTCATGATCATATCCATTAACATGCCAAATAGCACCTCTACATAAAAGATACATCCAAAAAAAATTTAATGAAGTTCAATATACTCCATTACAAAGAACACGTTTTAATTAACTTTTCTAATACCAGTTGCAGTGTGCAGTGCTTTGTAGCAATCTACTGTGTTGTAATTATACAAGGTAAGAGGCAAAGACCAAAACATACAGACCTCAACAGAGACCCCAAAATAGTTTTACCTCAAGAACACCTAGAGGATTCAGCCTACAATACATAATAATTTTATCTGTATTTAATAGATAGGCAGAATTCCAAAAAGAACTCAGACATTTGTCTACACAAAACTACAGTTAAATTTAGGAATCAATTTGAATTTAAAGTGTAGTATTAAGGAGTTGTATACCCATTGAAATAAAGTGGTCTGCAAACAAAGCATGTGTTCACAGTAACGTTTTCACAGACTTGATAGGTATTCTCTCTCTTTTGGCAAAGTTTTAAACATTACAAGTATATTGTTCATTATTGGATAGGTTCAAATTTTAGGTTACGAGGACTGAACAGTCCGACACTTCCCTTTCCCCTCCCCCCACCTTTTTCTTTTGTTCTACTAAGAGGCCGAACTATTAGCCTAAAATACATGCCAGTTATGACAAAAATCCCAGCAACAAATCACATCAGGAATTGAACTTTGACAACAGAATCATACACTGAGGTTTCCAATTAGCTGTGACTTTGCGAAAGGCAGGAGCTCGAGAGACCCGGGAGTCTCATGGCTGTACTACGGGAGGAGAAACTGCAGGCTTCAAATTGATCTTTGAAGCTTCTTCCAGCGTTGGGGTTCTTTAGCAACCCCAATTACAATATACTCATCTTCCTCTGCGAAAATAAAAATTGAGAGGAAGATTTCTTCCTAGAACAGGCAAGTTCAGAACGAGTCAAGACATTTACTTACATTTATATTGGCAACACAGCTCTTTGTAGATGGAGCAAGCAGCCACACAACAGTATAAAAAATAATCTTATTATGCTGAGCATATTATTATGCTTATTATTAAGCATACTATTATACTTAGCACACAAAGCACTCCCTTCTAGAAGAATGTTTGAAAAGATCAGAGACAACAGCTGAAGGTGACTTGAATAAAAACGTGTAAGTTCTAGAAAGAGGCCATAAGCTCTGAACAGAATGCAAACAGCAAGTRTTAACGAAGCTAGCACTACAAATACTAAGAACTACTAAGAATAAAGCTGGAGCTGGTCTCATTTTAACATCTTAGAAATAGTTTTTGATTAATTCCAACAGAAGAAAGAACATGTTTGTGAAATGAACAAACACAGATACTGAATTAGAATCTGAAAAGAAATATCAGAGAATTTCCAAAGGCTAGATAATAAGAAAAAAAATCACAAGCATGTGCAAACCTTTGAATATATGCCAATATTCCAGGAATAATGAAGACAACAGAGGAATGGAGATCAAGCTAAAAGCTAGGGGAAATAACATGGAGTTTGCTTACCAAATTTGCAAGTCAGCAGGATTACAAGATTGGCTAATGAAATTTGGGAATGACTACAGCTGGGAGATACTGTTTTCTCAACATAATTTTGGCACAACTACAATGAGAATACTGTGGTTTCCTTTGTTAAATAAATTACTGAAAGACAAACTGGCAAACATAAAAAGAAGTGTGACTGAGGGAAAGCTAATAGAATACTCCTTCATCCAGAGGGAAACAATGTCTGAAAGTGTTTCAGTGCCATTTGGGAAAAACTCCTCTTCAATTATGTGTGTTAAGAGATATTTTATAACCCAGYGAAATGCATTAGCAAAGAAAAACAGTTTCCTAAAGATGAAGTGCAACACAGCCCAAGAGGAGCAAGGAAAACTGAGTACTCAAACGAATCAATAATTCAAATTTCTGGTAGCAGCTATATAAAGAAGTCTAACACATAATGCAATTAATGCATTAATTCCCGATTTACGTATTTGTACTGGCATACGTCTCTAGTGTGAGCTGATACACACTTTAAGAGGATCATCTGATTAAGTGGGACAAGAATAAGAACTTTATACACAGATACGAAAAACAGCGCTGCCGACAGACACAACCAAAACATTAACACTCTCTGCTTGCAAACATTTCTGTATAGAGCATTTGGTCATATAGCATAGTATGTAGTAGATACTATAATGTAATTTTTTAAACACTCCTAGTGCTGCCTCTTAACTCTTCTGAAGAGCTGTTTCCAGAAAGTGCATTAAGGCTTCAACTGCAAAAGGCTGCTGGGCAGGACTCATCAAATTCTGCASCACACTGTGCTACAGAATTTTAGGCTTCTGAAATAAAAGATATTCTGAATCATTTARTTTTTTTTCATAGCTGGTCTTCATAATGCTCTGCTAAACTGATCTAGGTAAATGCAGAATGATACATTTGAAAATAAAATTTCACATTCTTTTTCAAAAAAAAAAAGCTGGGCATACAATAAAAGCATTAGAAGKTATCAATTTTAAGATTAAGTTATCTCACTTCCACTCATATTTCCATTATAGTACTGACGATTTAAGATTAGCCAGTGCCTGTGTTGCAGAGTAGACTTCAACAATGCAAAACTGCAGAGTGCCACTATTTTCATTTGGTTACTACAAAGGAGACAAAAAAAAATCAAAATTGTATGCTGGAATTGTTCATGCAAAATACATCATTAACATTTCTAGACAAATAAAAAGTACAATGACTGAAGCACAAGATGAATATCCAATTTGAAAACAAGATTTTTTTTTTAATGAAACTCAAATTAATTCTATACAGTTCTTCAGAATTCTGTTCTAAATCAAAATCTGACATTATTTTATGGTAATCTAAAAACAAATGTCAAAAAAAAAGCAGTGATGTATGATAGTCTAAGACAGAATGAGTCCCTTTAGATTTCCACTGTACCTTCCTGTATGAAAGCAGTTACAAATAAGGGTGGTTTAAATACAGGAAGTACTTTCGTTGAGTTACATTCATTCCTGGAAGAGAGCTACCTTCCTTACCTGGAGCAAGGATTAACATTTAATACTTAAAGCTTTGTCCTCAATAACATTCATTCTACCATCATATGCTGACCGGAACATACTGTGTAGTTTACACATCTATCAGTTAAACAAAACGTTTTAATGTATTTTCAGTGATGATTAAGATCCTATCTCAAGTATACCAAACGGTCACATTTATGTTGCTCACTCWAATTGAGCCCTTAATTGCTTATACAAATACTTTAAAATTCCACAATCAAAAAATCAGTCATATCTTAAAATGGCAGGTGCAGATTACATTCTGGCATGGTTACCCAGCTGCCTCATTCTTACAGTCTGATCAGTGGGTGATAATCTTTTTAGTTATAATCATTTCTTGTACATGTATGATTTTTCAGTCTTGTCGTAAGTATAAATTTGCAACACAGTAGTAACACTGCAGGTGTAGAAGTAACGCATCCTATCAGGCATGTGAAAAGATTAACACTCTACCACAGTTGCTGCTGGTGTATTTGTACAGAAGGCCTCTCGCACATCAATTCAGTCTATGGGAGGTAGATGCTTGTCTATGAACTGTTTTACATCCATCATTTCCTGTTCAAAAATAAAGGCATATGTTATTCAACGCTCCGCACTACATTATATTCAGCTACACTAATCGTTCAGCTTGTTAGCTGTAACAAGCAGCTGTGCCACAAACATTGTTTAATTAGTTACTTGATAGGCTATCACTTTGCAGCCAAAAAGTCAAGGCAAATCACTTAAAGGAGGCTGAAACATAAGAAAAGAAAAGCACAGATAAATCTCCTCCCTCTCTCTACCACTGGATTGGGAAAACAGGTACACACACACACGTATTAAAATACACACACACACACACACACACACACACACACACGTATTTTATAGCTAGATCAGTTCCTTCATCAGAACCCTTGACAGGTACAAGTCTTTCTATGATGGTGGCAATTTAGACAGGCTTAGAAAACACCTCAAGTCATGACTCTGAAAAGTGCAAATTAGGCAAGATTTCTACCTATCACCTAGTACTAAGACAATGTTGCAAGAAATACAGCACATCTATTATTAATATAGCTGTGTGACAACTCAGTTCTACTACTATCTTAGTTCAGTAAAACTGCATAGATGGCCCCAAAGAAGCAGAAGCTTTCGCTAGCAGCTTTTGCCCTTTTAGCAAGTTGTCATAGTTAAAAGAAATTTCAGATCAGCTCCAGGACTAGGACAAGAAGGAATAGGGGGCCACAAGATCACACACAAGACACGGAACAAACCTATCTGTTTCTGGCAGCAGCCAGCCATCCTTATATCAGCACAGCTGCTTGCAGAATTAGACCAAAAATCAGTTTGAAGATGTCGCTTTTAAGTAATCACCCTCTCCCATTCTTTTGACATTTCCTTTCAAACACATTCAGTAAACTAGCCAGACTCCTCTCCCCAAAATGCCACATTGTATTTATGCTGTGAGAATTCAACCTGCCTTCCAATTCCATGATAATTTTGGCTTGAAAAATATTCTGACAAAAAGAAGAAATAAAAGAATTATTTTAAGGAACAAAGAAACAACTTGCTAGTAGTTACCACTGCATATATTAATTTTTGCCCCGGAGGATTTTTCAGAAAAGTATTCAGTTATTCAATGACACAAGTCACTAATATCAAATACTTGTTATTAAAAAGCTGTAACAAAACCTGCAAGTTCCACATATTCATTTTTTAGGGAGGAAAAAAAAGAGAGAAAAAGACCAATTTAAAAGTTAATTGTAAAGTCAGAAAACTACCTCAATACACGAGCTATGCATCATGCCGGAGTAAGTCCTGAAGGTTACGTTGGCTGGATTTATCAAACTCTTCAGCTTCTCAACAGTAAGAGAACCAAACATTAAAGGAACCAATGGGTCACAGTCCCCATGGCACTGAAGAACAGGGATCTCCCTGTTGACTCCACTGATAGGGCCCTGTCAAAAGGGGAAGTAAAAAGAAAGAAAGAAGAGACAGTCACTGAGGGGAGGAAAAGTACATGGGTACATAAGGCTACCATACTGCAGATGAAATGATGCTGTGGGAAGTGYGCACTGTCGTGTGATGAGGTCAACTGCATTATATAGGAAAAAATAAAACCACACAGTGAATAGTTTGCAAGTTCCTCATGTAGCCAGTGCTGTACGCATTACAAACTGCAACTTACAGAAATTTGGTACTGATTTCAAAATAGATCCCCAAAAGCACAATTTCTGGACAAGTATAGCACTTAACACTTTGTTTTCCTCAACTTATTCTCTAATAAGACAGTATATTGCAGACAGAACAAGTAGCAAAGTAAAAATAAATAAATCAATTAAAAGAAGATCTTCATGGAACATTTACTTGATCCTCTATGTTTCCTAGAAAACTTTTAAATAGACGTAGTCCTATTTTTAAAACCTCCGAGTTACTCAATGAGGGTCACTACATTCAGCAACATTCCCCAATTCCTGCACATGAGAGGATCTTCAAGAAAGAGCTCAGAAAAGAAGCATAAATACCTGAGAAAAAGAAGCCCGTAAAGGAAGCCAGCAGCTGAGCGCTACAACACCTGCCAATTTTTGCTGTGTTGTAAGTGCTGTGTACAATGACAGAGCACCTCCCTAAGAAAGAAAGATGAACTTGTTATAATCCTGAAGATAAGGTTCCATTTTAATGTCAATTTCAAGATCTGTTTTCTCCTTTGGAGGACTTCTTGTGTTTCTTCCYTCAAACTAACATTATAATCAATATTGCCATAAAATATTTATTTTACTTTTTTTTCTTCAAATCAGTGTGATCAATTCACCAGTAAAATAAAACCGTAACTAGCAACTGAAAATTAAACAGGGAATAAAACACTATCACTCATGTCAGTATCACCTCTGCTTTATTATTTTAATACCTTAACACAAACTAGTGACTGGTTAATCTACCTGCAACAGTTATTGTACAAGTTTGAGAGCAGAAAAGAGTTCTCAAATAAATTTAGACTACCAAATATCTTGCAAAACAAAGTTRTTAACACAATTTTCAAGCAAAGTTACAGAAATCATAGTGCTTGAAGACTTTAAATATAGTATTCATTTTACCAGCCATTTTTCCAGATGTAGGTTTTCGGTGAATAGCAATTATTTTCATAATCTAAATGACTTAGTTTAACTGAGAAGGAATTCAACATCTTAAAATCTGAAATTTTAACCTCATTTCAGTTGAAGGGTTAGGATTTCCTGCACTAGAAAAGCTATAGGTTATTTCCCTAGAAATATATACAATTCTTTCCAAGCATACCTTACCTGAGAAAAGCCTCCCAGGATAATTCTATGAGAAGGAATTCCACTTTTTACTTCTTGATCTATCAGTGCTTTAACTGCAACATAAATGAAGGGCAGTAATTAAAACGCATTCTGTTCCCAAAAAAAGAAAGCAAACAAACAAACAAACAAAAAAACATAGGAGAGCAGAGAGACTGATCAACCCTGTTCCTAGGCTAATTATACCACTTCCAAAGGGGAAAATGTGTAAATATTCCACAGAATTCCCAGTTTAAAAAAAAAAAAAAAAAAAAAAAAAAAAAAAAAAGTAATCAGCACATTTGAGAATCAGGAGTGCTTACACTGATGAACTATTGACGCTTCTTTTTAACTAACGACACGGCACTTGGCTAACCTTGGATTAGTGACAATGCAATACATGCACCTTTGCCTATTAATTTTGTCTTTGAAAATYGATGAACTCTTTCAGACTGATAATCCCTTTTGAGAAGCACAATGAAGTATTTTTGAAGATACTAAAGCATTTATGGTCATACCATTCTCTGCTGCCTGCTTGATTCCTGCTTCATCTTCCTGTGAATCTGGAGAAAGTCCACTAATATCAAACCTTATAAAATATGAACAAAAGCTTTACTTTTCAGAGCACCTTAAAACACAAACAACAAAACAGAGATATTTGCCAGATAACAATGGTTGTTAGTTGACATACTACACAGCACCCATCGCTCAGTTTACAAAATAATAGGGGACAATGTGTGAACATGAATGAAACTCTAGGCATAGTGCAGATAGTTGCAGATGCAAAAATGCTCTCTTCTGTAATTTACTGCAGGTTAAGCAGCTCCATTTTGATTACCTGTTTCAAATTACTTGCATCAGCAGCAATTTTTAATTAAGAGTTGTATGCACAAAATTAAAATACTGTTTGAAGAAGCATAAGAAAAGCAAACACAGGTAAATAAAAAGATTGAACATGAAGACTGATTTAAGACCACTAACATCTACCATATTTTTAATTAAGAACAATAAGTTCAAACAGTGAGTGGCTTCTGGATAGAAAAATTTTCAGTTGAAGAAGTACTCACCATGATGGCATAGCCATGTTCCTGTTTAAAGAAACTGGCATAACTGGCCTGGAAATGAGAATGAATAACATTGACATACTCTACACATTGGAATTTAACAGCGCAATTACATACCCCATATTTTATCTTACTTTTAAATAATAATTAACATCATCTCTCAATTAGCATCTCTTCAAGAAGTATCTCTTGAAACCTGTCACCCCAAACACATTATCATTCAGGGCTAACTTACCACTCATGATGGAAAGCAAACAAAGTGGTAATGAGCCAGTTACTATCAATTTATTTAAATTATAGTGATATTACACAATTAAATATAATTCATACTTATTTTATATAATATAGGAAATGTTTTAAATATTTTTATGTGCATAAACATATATATACACATTTAACGCACACATCTTATCCCACTTAGTCATTTATGACTAGTATGTTGATCAACTTGCTATGTCCTATAGCAAGCTCCAATAGCAAGCATATATATTTGAGGGTAACATCACCATAAGGAACAGTGGCCTAAGGCTCCACCAAAGTGCCACTTCCYGAAAGGAATGGGGTCACACACCCCAGAGCTTCCCCAGCGTCATGGCCTGCTTAAGCCAAGCCTGTCCCTCCTGCAGGGCTCACTCCTACCCCAAGCTGCCACATGTCACCTCACAGACCTACCGAGGCAGCTCTGCTAGACYGTGCCAGGATCAGATCTGACAGAGTTTAGTCTGCCGACACAGAGGAAAGAAGTTTGGTGGCGCAAGACAGGCTTCTGTCTCTCACAAGCAAAAACAAATCGCAGGCAAAGGAGATTGCTAAAATCTTTTCTCAAAGAGCTCAGCAATTTGCCATGTCATAATAAACAAATGAATAATAAATGTGTAAATCACAGGCCAGTAATCAGCTGGTAATGCACCAAAACATGGCTTGCTTATCTCCTTCTGCTGCCTGCTCCACAACTCCCAAGCCTGTTGGGGAAGTACATGATGTGAATCCCTTGTTAAAGGAAATTAGCATTACTTCTATTAGATAAATTTTAACACTTCGTTTACTGAATCATGAGCTGCTCACAATTATTTCACTTCTCAAATTGCACAAAAAGCTCAAGTTGCAGTATTTGCTTATTCATATTGAAAATATGAGTAAGAATATCCTGAGAAGCCTTGAAATACACCGTAAGTAACAGGCAAATTGCATCTTAATCTYCAGAAGCTGATGTAATAATATGAAGTATCTGGTAAAATGGAGCCAGTGAAAGTATAAAGTCAAAACAAACCACCTTTGCACATAAGACTTCCCAAATTTTTGTTCAGGCCAAATTAATAACAAATGCAAAATATGAGCATAATTTCAAAAGTAAACCACAAGGCAGTCCCTAAAAAGAAATAAACAACTTTTACAAARAAGAGGTCTAGAGATAACCAAACCTCATTTGACTTCAGCATCTAAGTCCCTTAGTAAACCTATATACAACACATGCAGTACAACATATATTTCTCTTAATAAGGAAAAACAGCTACAATTTTAAACTTACGCATGTGGGCAGATGTATTTTACATGAGGACTTTTGATACCTGCAAGTGCTTCTGACCATCCATGCCTGTTAACAAAWAAATAAATAAATAAATAAATAAATAAAATGTAATCTATTTTTTGACTTTGCTCTAATTTCCATTGTTGGTACAACTGCACCCACAGAGTACAAAATAGGCTGAATTAGGTCAACATCAAAAACACTTCTAAAAAGCAAGGCTGTAACAAGTCCAACATACTTTAAATACAGTACTATTTTTAAAAGGTCCATTCTCTTGCTGAGTATTTGCTGCACATATATAGCCAGACATACGTTTATCTGATTTGGAGATCACAGCTGTGGCCTGGCTGCGGAAACAGCACTTCAGCACTGCACAAAGCCTGCTCTCGTTAGACAGAGTTTATCAGCTCGGGTGCTGCAACACCTGAATACAGGTTCCAGACTCTGCTCTGGTAAGAGACCCCTTGAAGAACTGAGCCAGCCTCTTTCACAGCCAACTCTGCTTTGCAACACGTTCCTGGATCTGGGAGAGCAGCAAGCTGCCACTTAGGTTCAGACTAGATCCATCAGACCTAGTGGCTCTGGCTGAGCTCAAATGCTCTCAGGTGGAGGCAGCCCTGAATCTCACTTCCTCTTCCTAGGCACATACAAGCTGATTCTGTATGAACACATGGAACAAATCTAGGGCTGCAAAGYAAAGGAGCAATTACGCCTCCTACAAGCCCCCAAAAAATTAGAATCCTGGTTAAATAACAGGCTCTGAAAGACCCACTCCAGAACTCATCTTGGCTTAAACTGAACTGGACCCAAATCTGAATCACTGCAGAACTACGGTCTGTACCTGCACTTTGCTTTCCACAAAATACAGGATGAAATACTGATTTTAAATATAAAACATCTGTAATAAATTCATCAGATGACATAGCTGACCTAATCAAAACAACAACGGACAAGCCATAATCCCATGCATGCTTTAAACTTAGTATCACCATAAAAAAGTTAAATAGGTTTCAAGCACCCAGAAAGCACAGTCAGTTGAAACTGCAGCTGTATATCTCAACCTACTTCCTACCAATACTTACATATATGCTATTTATAAGTGGCAATCTTGAGTGATAATTACCAAATGGTAATTTTATTGCTCAATACAAACGGTCAAATAAGAAAAAATGTGATGATGAAAAACTAGCTACGTAGGATTCTGGGACTGTTTTAGTCAAGTGTAAAGATTAATTTGCCAAATTTATGATGCAGTATTACACACACATTTAGGCCAACTTTTTAGAACAATTATCCGTGATGCACCTTTTGTGCACACTTGGACAAGCACATTCTACCTTTTAAGTGCTTTTTATAGAGGACTTCAAAGACAAAAGCCACCTACCCTGACAAGAGGTTACACACATCTCGCAGTGAAAACTACAATTGGTAGTTACCAGTGTAAACAATCACATGAAATAGATTGATTTCTACTGAAAAGCTATGAGATTTCTAATTTCTTCAGATAATTCCTTTTAGCGTCACTACTATCACTTTTTCTTGGAGGGGAAAAAAAAAAAAAAAAAAGTATGTTCGTTTTAGCTAGAGGCAAGAAGAACAAATGACAAATGCAGCTACCATATTTTTGCAGAGATCTTATAACTTGTTAACACATATATTCCACTACGCTTAGTACATTTGCAAGCCACGGATCACACATTAACGTTGTGACTAAATAGATATACAAGACGTGTATGAGGCCTGCAATAGAGCGAGTTTTTGTAGCTTTTYTTTGCAGACAAGCAAAGCACAGCAAAAGACTCTAGTCATATGGTAAATATTTGCTGTCAAGATGCAGGGAATAAGCACTGCTGCCTCGGATGCATCCCACCAKCAGGAAGCAGGAGTAACAATTCAAACAAGGCGATGAGTCAACAGCCAACAGCAAGAACAAATGAGAGCAAACATCTCCCCTTGCAGAACAGGGCCAAACACATGGATTTAACTGTTTCTAACGTACCTTTAAACTTCCATAACCTGGACAGTCAACTTAACTCTGAGTCCTCAAAAAAARGATCGTTTCCTAAACATCACAACTTTCAATACAGAAGCAACATGAAAGTTCTATGAAATGAAACTCTAAAATATATTATATAAATTGTGACTGGATTGGAGCATGAAGCACAAAGCACTCGCGACAGCCCTTTTTAGTACCCAGCTGTTGCTTCCTTTAAAGATTTCTAACAAAAAGTTGTTTCAAGACAGTCTAATACCAAAGCAATAGGACTGAACGTYTGCTCATGTTTTGCCACACAGAAACTTCCAACTGGGACACTCCAGTACAACTACAGAGCCTGCGTGTTTGCGTATGTGCAGCCCTTTCCAGCATTTCCCTACTCTTCCCGTTTGCATTCCAAACTGGAAATAACAAGGTTATCATAACAAGGAAAACAGACTCCAGTTTTTCATAATTTGTTCTGCTATTTAAGAGTCTGAAGACTGTATCTCACAGAGCAAAATCAGTATAATCTAGGTGAATATCCAGAAGTTTGTTTASATTCTTTAAAAAGAAACAGGCTGACTTAAGTGTTGTCTAATGACGAATATGCCACCCACTTACCAGCAACATGGCAAGCCACAACTGCAGTAAAAATAACTTTAAAATTAGATAAGCACAGAATAACCAGGAATCTGCTCTCAGGAAAGCAAGATCTGAATTCAACAAGTCCTTGGGCACTGATCTCGGWTCAAGAGAATAAAGACCACATTCTGATCAGCTTATGCAAACAATCAAAAAGAGGCACAAAAAACCTTTTTGGGGATTCAAAAGCTCCATGCCAGGAAATATTAAACTGTCATCACTGTGATTCCTAAATTTATCGATTTTTTTTTCCTGGCTCTGTGTCCTGCCTCCGCAGCCAAGGAGGCAAAGGGGCACACAAAAAGGAGCTGCCACTTCCAGCGGCTCGCACGGATAAACCGTGCAGCCTTTTGTCGGTAACTATACCCAGAGCTACGCAGACACGTTCACCACGCAGGATACACACCCAGTATCTCCCAATCCATGAAGGAAGATGACCTGAAAGGGGGAGCACAAGACACGTTAGCGCCGCGCGCTCAGGCCCACGGGCCCCGCCGCGCCGCGCCGCGCACGACGAAGCCCCGCTCGCCCGCTCCACCGGCGGCACGAGCGGCGCGGGGCCTCCCCGCGGCCTCCCCGGCGCGGCGCCGCGGGAAGGCAGCGCCCTGGCCGAGGCCGCGGCGGCAGAGCCGGACTCACGGCAGCCGTCGCCTTCCGCGCGGCCGGGACGATGGCGGGCAGCGGCGCGGACATGTTGTTGCCGCACATGCACCGGGCTGCGGGGCGGCGAGGGGGGCACAGGCCGGG